AGTTTGCTTTGTTCTTTCTTTCTCCTTAATCTGTTAAATATGGTTTCCTTGCTGCAATGAAATGCCAAATGCTGATGCTGTGGCTCACAATAATTTTTTTAAAATTCTTATTTTGAAGTAAAATTCTCGGAGTTTTTATTGCTGTAAGGCACGTAAGAAAATTTCTTAATTGTCAAATCTGAGAATCTACCTCTTGAAATCTGATTCTAATTATCTCCCAGATGTTAGTTTTCAGGCCCCCGATTTTTTAAAAAAAATTATTTATTCTTGGGTTGACTGCGGAGTTTGGCTTCTCGAAAATGGCAAGTCAGATGAGATTTCATTCCGGGGCTTGTTTCACGGATGGTTTGGATAAGGTGGATCACGTTTTGTTTTTTTAGTAGCTAGTTTTGCTAAAGAGAACGCTACTTGCCAAAACACTTGTTGATGGAGTTTTATGATAACTACTTTGAAGTTCATACCGCCTCTAATTGTTGATTTGAAGCATAATTAATTTTGAAACTGATTTCTGGATAACTTGTGCAGCTTGGATTGTGAGAAAGGGAGGAACGCCATTGAAGAGGCTGCATTCCGAATGGCTAATGTTACCTCTTCTTATATACAGGGTACAACTTTTACCAGGTACCTTTTCCACTTCTTCTCTGGTTTTAAGTCTGTAAATTTTCTCATACGCCACTAGTTCATTTTTGTTACTAGTAGCGGGGAGAAAGCAAAAAAAATTAGTCTTTTTCACTGGAAATTTTTTTTCTTCTTCTGATGTGCTGGTGCAAATTTCTGTCTCTCCGTTTTTACTGAAAGAAATTTGCTGTGAATCAATACAGGCAGTATGCTTCAAAAGACCCTGAATGTATTTTTAAAAATGATAAATTAATTCAGTAGCTCATGTTTATGTGTTCTTCACCGGTTCTTTGAATTCTAAATAAAAATTTTATCATAGTGAAAATGTGTTCTTCTCTTTTCTTGGAAACATTTCTGTGCTATAATACAGCTTCACGTCTACCAAGATGCTCCTAGCTTGTGATCATATTTTAATCCCTGCTACAAGCACCACGTCTTTCTCATCATTGTTTTCATCGTCTTTAGCATTCCCCAAATAATTTGTCCCGAATTATGAAACCTTCTTATTGATTCTTTGTCTTTGAGTAGTATCAGTTGTATTGAATTGCTCAACTCTAGCATGTGTCTTTGGTATATTCAATGCCAATGATTCCTTTTAATTCTATTGACTCACTTTAATGTTGCATTATCTGTTTTTCAGTGACCATTCATAAATCATTAATTATGTATCACTATATGTTCTTATATCATTCTTTATCCTCTATAGCACGTACTCTCATAATTTAAAGAGTGCAACTGATTTTCACTCAACCTTCCATAGTCTTTCCTTCCGTCCCACAAAATCCATTCATTTGTGCAGACTTGCAATACTTTTAACTAACTTATATGCTAAGTTTTTCAAACAAAGGTCTATTCATAGATTTATATTCAAACCATAACTTTCCATGAAATTCTATTATCATCTATTTTAATCAACACACACTTGGCTCTTGAAGCTGTCACATCATCTATGTGCTTATTTTTTTTGCATAGTATTCGAAGGTATTTAAATCTATTTTGCCTTCTTATTGATTGATTTCCTAACAATAATGGCTCATTAATTTGAAATTCATATACACCAACTTGCAAATATGTACTCAACTTTTGTCTTACCAATTATATTTTCCTTGCATTTTATAATTCCATCGTTCGATCCTTTCCTTGATTCAAAAGAGATCTCATTTATTAAAATTATGTTATTTGTAAATAGCATATACTGATACACATCTCTTTGATATTACAAAATGATGAGAACTTATTGCTATTTTTTGATGTAATTTTACCCATGACTATGAACACTTCAGACACGTAACTACATTGTACTTAACTTTAATATGCCCAACATTCCTTTGAGTCTCATCATTGCTCCTTATACCTATAAATCAAGTCTTGTTGTATTTGATCACATTCTTTTTCAAGATCAACAATTTTCATATTAAAATCTCTTCATTTTTCTCTATAGTTTCTTCCTAGCTCAGAAATTTCCTTTATAGTTTATATTAGATTTAAACCCAACTTTTTTTTTAATGCTGACATGTATATGATTAATATATATCAGATTATGGTCTCTTATAAGTTTATTGTGTGACTTATTTGTTTTATTCTTTTAGATTTGCTGTAGTTTCCAGAAACTTTTGTTTTCAAAGATAGTATTTTATTTTTCTTCTTTGGTCAGCTGGAATCTTATAATTTGTAGGATTACATAATTTCTTAAACAAAATACAACATTTCTCATAATTCAAAAAAATCTTAAAAGACATCTCAGAAAGCTCTTGAAAGCTACTTTATGTCATACATTTTCTTTGAAGCTAACTCTAAGGTTTTTTTTTTTTATGGAGTTATTTATAGTATATTTACTGATTATATTTACTTGCTATTTTAACTAAATTTCTTTCTTAAATTCCCATTTACTCATTTCTTAAAGTAACAATTTTCATCTTAATAAATAATTTATTGATTGACTAAATATTGTCAACTCTAAATATTTTCTTTCTTACAATCTTTGGCTGTAATACAAGTTATCAAGAGTTGCACCGTTGTCTTATTTTATGCTCTATATGAGAATTTAACTTAACAACTATTAGATACCTCATTTTTTTTCTTTTTGTTATTCTTTATAGTTATATTTCTTTTTCTTAATAAATTTTTGTGTCCTGATTCCATCATCAAGCTTGATCATGATTTATTTATAGTCATTTTCTTTTAGTACACATGTTTAATTTTCATTTAGTACAATTTTAATTTCCTATCTTATTTCTCATGTTTAAACTTCTACGATCTTATTTTGGGAGATTGTTTATTTTGGCTGCTTGTTTTATATTTCTAACATATACATCCATCTCCACTACAATTTATGTGGCCCGCGCTTCATTTTAAAAATCATTACAATATTTTAAAACAAATTTTTTACTTATTTTTTAGAATTACCTATTTATTATCTGGCAAATTTCTTCTTATATTGATTAAGTTCTCTGTCAGAATCTATCCATTTACATTAATGTAAATAATTATTTGCTCTTCTATAATTTGTATGTCTATTCAAGATTTCAATTTTCTATATGATACCTTCCTAATCCATTCTTATTGTTAGCTTGCCCAACATAATATAGATTCTAACGTTGTAATTTTGGATTTCCCATCACAAATGTGCAATTTTGTTCTTTCTTCTAATCATTTTGTTCACTAATTCTTGTCATCCAACTCCAAGTCGATGAATCCATATATTAAATAACTAAACATAGTCTTAATGCTAAACTTAGTTTACTGTTACATATTTTTTAATACAGTTAGGGTTAAATTATGGGAAATCATTTTGACTAATTTTGAAGACAACCTTTGTTACTTCTAACAGCAAAATGGTTGTGTTGCATCAGTTATGGGTGACATCCTAGTAACTCTTTTTTTCTCACGTCAATTTTGTTAGCATAACTTTTGGAGAATACCTTAGCACTAGAAAGATTTTGAAATTGGTCTTATGATTGGCTATCAAGCTTTGCATCAATTCCCTTCCTTTCTCATCCAGGTTCAAAATAATGGTGGTTTTATTGATTAGACAGTTTTTTTAATATTTATTTGCTTTTTCATTTTTCTTGTGTCTCTCAGCTTTGTTGATACGTTTCCACTTTCAGAAGGTTTTATTTTGTTCTTTGAATATATTTCTTTTTAAAAGCTTTGTATATTACTTTGTTCAACATTATCATTATCAGCAAGATCAAAATCATTTGAGGCTAGTTTTTTGAGGTTTGTTATTTAGGTTGAAGTGGGATACATTTCATGGTTTAAGGAATATACTTTTATTCCTCAACTTTTCTCACGCAGGATTTGATGCACCACAGTGGCTTTTTTTTCCTTTTATGTTTGTGGTTCATATTTGGAATTTACCTTTTGAAATCATCCAAAAATGATAGCTTGCTAAGTAATTTATTTTAGGAGGAATTATTTCCTTATGATTTTCAGATTGCTAATATTGTTTTTTCTTAGGCGGTATTACTGCTTGAAAGAATTTAAAGGATTGAGGTTCTCATCTCAACCCGCTGTTTGCTGGAAAGCTTCGAACTACACACCAACCACCATCAGGAGTGGTCCTGTTTCTGCCTTGTTTGGAGACAACCGTGTCAAGAATAGGAAAGATGGCATTCCATCTTATTCTAAGCATGCAATAAATGACCAGGATATTGTGTCAACAAAAGAAGTAGCAAGTAATGGTACTGCTATAACTGATGGGTTTTTTGACCACCAAGTTGAACAAGATTTAGACTGTCCCACTAAAGGATTTTCTTCGGTCTCAGAAGCTATTGAGGATATCCGTCAAGGCAAGGTTGGTGTGTTTTAAGTGCAGTGGTGCATGCTTCATTTGTTTTTATTGCACCACTAATTTAACATTTTCTTGTAGCTTGTAATTGTGGTTGATGATGAAGATAGAGAAAATGAGGGAGATCTTATAATGGCAGCTTCTAAGGCTACACCAGAAGCTATGGCTTTTATTGTAAGGCATGGGACTGGAATTGTGTGTGTCGGCATGAAAGGAGAAGACCTCGAGAGGCTACAACTTCCACAAATGGTCATTAACAGAGATAATGAGGAGAAACTTCGGACAGCATTCACTGTTTCGGTGGTATGCACATCATTCTTTGGCGACTGTTCCGGATTTGGACATGCCCAGTTATCAATCATATAGATAGTTTACCTTGATAGTTTGTATATGTATACCTCAATCCTTCAACTGGTTTTCTAATTCTGAAGCAGTTTTTTGTTGATCATGCATTCTTGACTTTCGAAATTAATTCAATATTCCATAAACTCTACTAGTTGGTAGGACTAAGAGTGTGAATTATCCGATCTTGAGCTGGTCTGACCTGGCTCAAGATTGGCTCAAAGCCATCTGATTTGATCATGAGTTGAGTCACACCTAGCTATAAATTGACTCAATATTATCCAAATTCTGGCCATTATTGTCTCGTTTGTTTTGATTCATGCTCTACCTTAGACAAAAGTTAATTTTTTTAGATTATTATTTTTTCTTCTAAGCCAAATGCTTAGCCCAATCTACAAACAAGCAACAATAACCATACAAGTCTATATCTGTCGCTGCATTGTTGCATTTGTGTATTAGCACAAAGATAACATTTGCATACATGTGCTGATGTATTTATAAATTTTTATTTTGTTGTGATCCTAATCTTTATTCAATCTAAATTCAGCTAAATCTATGTTCAATCTAAGCCTTGCATGGCTGGTTGATGCTAAATCCTGCCAAATCCTGCCAAAAATCAATCCGATGTTTCAGCGATGCTTGATTTTTAAGCCAAATTCATAAGCATGCCAGAATCCTTTTTTGGATGTACTTCCTATATCTCAAAGGCTTTTTAGAGGCACATATTTTATGCACGATAAGAGCAAGAACAGACGCACAATCTCTTAGTATAGATGCATGATTGGTGTAAAAAGATGGTTTCTTTTCTCAGAATGCTCTCTGCTTCATTTGAGTTCCATGTGTTTTATATCTTATGAAGATTATTTCTTTCTTTAGGTTTCTTTTCTTTTAATTTTTATGTTAAATGCTTTGGCATTTGAATGAAATGATTATTATTTTGCATTTGATTTTTTATGAACCCTGCTGCATTGTAAATACTATTAAACAGTGGTCATATTAAAAAAAAAAAAAAACAATGGCCATTTTTGATACTCTTTAACTTTTGTACAGTGATATAATGTATAGTTTTTTTTCCTTCTCTTCATGATCATTTTAATGCTTAATGCCTTACGGCTTAATCAATAGGTTTCACTTATAGAGTTTATTTCTTGCAAGCTCATACCTATCATCTTATAATTTTTAAGGTTTATTTGTTCATCATTTAAAAGAGGGTTTCTAGACTCGTGCTTTAGGTATATCATTGAGTTGTGATTTCGATTATGTGTTATTTAGTTGATTCAATAGTAATTTATTTTTTAGATAAGTTACAGCAATAATTAAATTTCATTTAAATTTTAGTGGAGTAATTAATAGGTGTTAGTTATTAGATTAAGGTGCTCCAATAGTACTTTTACTGAAAAAAACTATTATTGCAAATATGTTTGAGCTTATTAAAATTAATTGTAAATTATAAACTCACCCCCATCCGACGAAGTTTTGGTTATTGTCCACTATCTTCTAGTGTGTGTGTTGTTATCCTATAATTGCATGTACTATAAACATTTGATGCTTTTTTTCTTTCTCCAACACATGGTGATCTACAAATCCTAGATTGAAAATAATTTAGATCAATCATAGATTCATAGCACTAAATAGCCCACACAAGCAATTTTAACGCACTCCAGCAATTAGTGTTTCTAAACATTTTTATCATTTACTCATCATAATTAATCTCAAATTTTAATGAATTATTCAATACTTCCTATATCAAATCCTTAATACCTTCTTATGATTCAATTCTTATTAAATGCTTTCATCATTTTAATTACATTAATACATATACTAATTTATTCTAATACTCAAAATATTTCCTTATTATCTATACTAAGTCTTCATATATATATTCTCTTATAATCCCAAATATTCCTTGGACCTTATCATGAATAAAACCATTTGAGATAACACCTTAAGCTTAAACTCCTTCCCATGATGATTAAATTTTTAAATATAAATTAAGAAAAGAGTTGGTTGTCTTCAATTACAATTATTTACATGATTAGTATGTTTTTATCGTTTCATTCATCCAAAGTTATTGATGGTCATTTAGAGGGTGGTCTCCTAGAAGGCTTATGCTACGGCTTAGTTGATGAATATTTCAACATGAGGCAAATTTGACATTTTTTTTTCCTTATATGCATTTGTAGGATGCCAAAGAGGGCACAACCACTGGTGTTTCTGCCAAAGATAGAGCAACAACCATTTTGGCTCTTGCATCTCCTCACTCCAAGTCTGAAGACTTTAACCGTCCTGGCCATATTTTTCCGTTGAAGTATAGGGAGGGTGGTGTGCTTAAAAGAGCTGGCCACACAGAAGCCTCTGTTGATCTTGCTATACTGGCTGGATTATCACCAGCTGCTGTTTTGTGTGAAATTGTTGATGATGATGGTTCCATGGCACGCTTGCCAAAGCTTAGAGAATTTGCTGAAAGAGAAAGTATGAAAATCATCTCAATTGCGGACTTGATTAGGTATTTCATAAAACTATTTTTTTCCCTAATAAGGAAGTTTGCCATGTCAGTTAATCATTTTCCTCCTCTAATCATCATGGCTATCTTCTACTTCCAATCCAATCACCCTTTTCAACTATTTTGTGCTTCTTAAGACTTAAATTGCAGTATTCTTATAAAATGTAATTTTTCTATTAGATTTACCCACTTCTGGGTATCTACAGCCAGAGTTTTTGTCTGGGGCAAGAATGTTGGAACCAAGTAGAACGATGTAAGACTAGAAGTCACAGGATCCTTGTCTTATTAATTGAGGTCGCATGATTTTATTTCTTCATATTTGTAGTTCTTTTAGGTTACATCACCCCAAGGACCTGTATGGGTTTGGCTACTTTGCTGCTGTAGTCAAGCTTATGACTACCCGAACCTTGAATTGAATGTCATCTGAGGTAAGACGACTGCTTGTGATGATATGTAGTAGAAAATAATTAACTTTAGTGTTGGAGGATAATTTAGGGTCGGGCTTCACTGATGCAAAGCTAAGGTGAGATGCATGTATAAAAAGGATCACAATTTTTAGTTTCCTAATTTTTAGTTGAAGTGAAGATTAGTCATTTTTAATGCAATTCAGAAAACATACTTCATTCATTTCATAAGGTAATTTAGAAGTCACAAAAGTTTGAAGCCTCACAAGAAATCTAATGACCACCACCATAAAAATAAAATTGATATATAACATGCTTAACAAAATCTCAATCAACCACACAAATTAGTCACAAGATAAATTTATAAGAAAGATTAAGGACATGAATTTTCAAATGGAAGGTATAAGTCTTATGCCACAAAAGAAAATCAGTGCGAGAAAATTTAACCTAATTTCAATAGCGGACATAAACCAATCACTGGATTGTCTAGAAGAAAGAAAAATGATAGAAATCCCCAAGTAGAATATCTCGGTTTTATACTAGTCCTAAATGTTGTCATTAAATGAAGCACTAGATGATCTACATCCAACCTTTCATACAGGCCTTGTGAAAATTTGGAAAATTTATTCAACCATTCAATATTTTATTTTTTCAAGCCTTTGGGGTCTTATTTAACCTGAAATGCCCAATAAGTTAATTTTTTAGGTTTCCTCAAGAATTGGCCTCATATTGAAAGTTTCAACTCAGCATGGTTGATCTCTAATAAAAATACAAAGTTTTTTTCAAATTTCCGTTCACAGCAAATCTAACAATTTTAGGTTTCAAGCTATGGTGCAACACTGGAAAAGGGAATGAACGGCAAAGTCGGCTATAACTGCTGTGCTGTGCCCAACATGAAATAAAATGCTGAACGATGTTACATAAACAAAGAAGGAAAGCCTCATACGAAAAAAAATTCAGCTTAGTACAATAAATTGCCATAATGAGCAAACCAACTGTGAAACCATTCAAGTAAATGAAGCTGGGCTCTTAAACATATGAACATCTTCTGGTGTAACAGTTGTAATTTCATCAGAAACTCTAAGGCTAAGCATGCTCGTATGGGAGCACTCTTAGGATGAGCAACATGCGGGGAAGTTACACTAATGGATAAAACTGTCAGGCCATTAGACCAAAGTGGATAATATCTTGATGGGTGGCAGTTTGGACAGCTACAATTGTTTTTAGTCCAGCACATCTCGGTAACCCTGTATTTGCTACACTACTAACCCTAATGCAGTGCTAGAATACACACAAAGACTAGCTCCGACTAATTGGTAATCATGGTCCAAATCAGTGGCAACAAGCAGCCTAACACCGTTACGAATAATGGCACACATTTGTTGAATCTGAAAACAGGGCCAACTGTCCATGTACTGAAACATGAAACTGGAAAGAACTGAATTATGGAATTTAAGAGTTGAATCAAAATGACCTAAATAAACATAATGTGATAGTAAGAAAAATATTAGAGAATCATCACATTCTCATACGAATCAACATCATGAGCATGTTTAGGCTAAAATGAACTAGGGAGCACAAAACTAGAAATATAAAACAACTAAAACAACATCAGTTTATTCGACTTGTGCTTATAATGAATAAGGGTTTTCAGCTTTGCGTAATATACGCATGCGCTTTTGTCTGTCTTAAGTACCAGACATCTTCAGGTTGGCCATGATTCAAGTTCTATAGAATAACTTTGCCACACGCTTTAGAATTTTATAATTAATATATTATACTTGAAAAGCAGTATTCTTCTTTTATAATCTTGTCTTTAAGACTTACGCAATTCACAAATATTTGATTGCTGTATGCTTATATGACAGGTATAGGAGGAAGAGAGATAAGCTGGTTGAGCGTGCTTCTGTTGCACGCTTACCTTTATCATGGGGTACATTCCAGGCCTATTGTTATAGGTCTTTGGTGGATGGGATAGAGCATATTGCCATGGTCAAAGTGAGTGTCCCTGAAATACAGCTTTAATCACTATTGCATTTATCTATGTCATATTTCTATCATAGGGGCTGTCCTGAAATGAATCTAAGTGGGATTTAACTTAAATATGCCAGATAAAAAATGGGCAAATTTTAAATCCTGGATTTAATGAATCTAGCTTCTTTTTAATTTCTCTCAGTTTCATCTTAAATTCTGGATTACTAAATTCTGATGTTGGCAAGTTTTAGTAAATATTTACTGGATTTACTAAAGCTGTTACCAGACAGCCCCATAGTTTGGAAGACATTCACCATGCGTCCTTATACTTTAGCTAATGTTGTAAAGGTAATATAATTATTTATCCTGAAAACTTTCTATAGGGTGATATTGGTGATGGACATGGCATACTGGTGAGAGTGCATTCTGAATGCCTCACTGGCGACATATTTGGTTCGGCCAGATGTGATTGTGGTTCCCAGTTGGAAATGGCCATGAAGCACATTGAAAGAGCTGGCAGGGGTGTATTGGTTTACCTCCGTGGCCATGAGGGAAGGGGCATTGGCTTAGGTCATAAGCTTCGTGCTTATAACTTGCAGGACAACGGGCGTGATACTGTGGAAGCCAATGAGGAATTAGGTTTGCCTGTTGATTCAAGGGAATATGGCATCGGTGCACAGGTGAGCTAACAGTAAAATCCACTCTACTCATGAATTTAGATTTTTCCATTGATGATTGTAGATTTTAATGATTCTTTTAATAAAAGCGACGAATTTAATTATTTTTGTTTGCAGATATTGCAGGATCTCGGTGTCCGCACAATGAGGTTGATGACCAATAACCCTGCTAAGTACAGCGGCTTGAAAGGCTATGGGTTGAGCATCGTCGAGAAGGTTACCCTGCCAACCCTTATTACAAATGAGAACAAAAGGTACTTGGAGACTAAGCGGCTAAAGATGGGGCATGTCTATGGATCTGAATTCAATGGAAAGTTGCGTGAGTTGATCAAAGATGTGGATGAAGCGAGCACTCAGCAGCATTCCTCATGATGCCAATAGGTGGAAGCAATTTGTAATGAGTTATTTACCATTGCACTTTTATAATCTTGAAATTCTGTGTGGTATTTGGACTGAAATGCCGTCCTGGAATGGTTTTTTAATCAACTCAAATGGGATCTAGAAAATCCTGTGTATGCCGATTTAGGGGCTGTATCATAACCAATTCAAGTAAGATTTAAATTAAATCTTTTCAGATAGTAAATTCAGGATTTAATAAATTCGATTGCTTATTCGATTTCTTTTTAGTTTTACCTTAAATCTTGGATTTAGTAAAAGTCATCATCATAAAACCCCTGACTAATATACAAAAAAAAAATATTACTCGTTCTATTTTTTAGGCTCGGTTCATAAACATTTGTGTAGAGTTGTTATAATAAAATATTAGCTTTTTGAAAATTGTTATGGCCTTCTGAAAAAAAAAAAATCAAATAAAATTTCAAGGACTAATGTCAATTGGATGGGAGATTGGCTGATTGGAGTTGATAGAGGGCTACTATGGAGTTCCATTCTGAGCTCAGTAGTAATATAATATCAAGATACCAATGCAGACTATTAAAAGATGGTTAATATTCCGAAGATTAACTAAGGTCCCCTATGTTTTTAGCTTCAGGCGTCAGATTTTAAAACTGCATTAGCCGTATGCACGTTTGAGCGTTGGATTCCTGAACTGTATTGTGCCTTTCTATCTTCCGGCAACTGGAACAGGAACCCTACGCACGGCATGAAAAACTCCTTGTTTTTTCCATATTTGCCGGGGATTACAGATTAACTGTGTAAGCGGATTACGGATTACGTATGTGTTTATTTCCCGCGGGTTTCTTGAATGTATTTGATTAAATTAATCTTAGGATAACCTGATTTGTTTCCTTGTTGCTTTGCCCTGTTGTATTGATTCCTTTATTTCCAATTGTGGAGTCAAAGTGGACAGTTAAAAGCAAGCACATTTTTATTATTAGTGGATTATTTATTTATTTATTTCAGTTAAAAATGCTCTCAAATTCAATCTTTAAATATTAGTGAATTATTTATTTACACAAATGATTAATGTGTTTAATCATTTATTGAATTTTATTATAATATAATGAACTATAATATAAAAATACTAAAAAAAAATAAATGTGCTTAAATATGAGAATTATATACATCTATAAAACTTATAAATTCCATATAATATGAACAAATGTGTATTTAAGATATTTATTCATAAACAACACTTTTAAAATTGAGTTTTTCAAACATATCAATTGTTTCTAGAAGTTCAATTTGTAAAATTCATTTGAACTGAGATTTCATACAACCACAGCAAAAACAAACGTGTCATATGACTTAGCAACTGCAACTAGCCCAATTATATATATCGTTAACTACTTTCTTATTAAATCTGAATTCATTAAAAAAGATAAGAAAATGATTCTTCAACAAATATAATGATCTATTAAAGCCAATCATTCAAAGTCTTCAACATACTAAATTATGCAATTCTCATCAATTTGTGATCTAAAATTTTATTTCATGAAAGATATTTTTGTATTAAATTGAGAATATTTTTTCAAGATTAAAAATTTAAATAACGTTTATTATGAATTAATATTAACAAAACGAGGCAATGTTAAATTGGTGCTTGACAAAGACAACTCCCATGCATTTAAAAAAAGAAAGATTGAAGATTGTATTTACATATATATATATATTATACGTTATTTATGCATTAAAATATAAATTTCATCTTTTTATAATTAAACATTAATATTTTTGATTTGATACGAGATTGGTGTGATAAAGATAAAAGGAGTCGAGCAACTTGAGTTTCTGTGTTATATGAAATAACATAAGTATTTGATGGTATATGTAAAAGCAACTTACAAAAAACGGAGTATTAATTTAAACGTTATTACCGTTCTTTTCCGTGCCCTAAACCCGCCACACCGCCGCCATTCAACGCCCGCTCTAATACGACGGATTCCATCGCCACCAGTTTCTTCTACCGTCATCAGGTAAAAGCACGTCCAAATTTTATCATCATCTAGCTCATCGACTTTCTTTCCAGTCACCACCGTCCACTTCCACGAAGTAGCCATCGCCCGCAGCCTTTGAAGCTTGACCGTTTTCCCTTTTAGGGTTTGGAAACGAGATGGAAACAAGAAGATGGGCGGCCATCGTTTTACTTTTAGTTTTCCTTAAGAATTTATTTATATGATTTCCGGAAATTTTCTTAATGGAGAAAGCTTTCGAATGCTATTAGTTGATACAATTTATTAATTTTTGCAGAAAGAAGACTTAATTTTTGTTTTATTGTGATGATTACCCTGACGAAGACGGGGAGTGTAACCAAATATGCTGAAGATCATCCAGAACATCTTGTTGTCCTTCTAGTGGACATATTAATTTGGGAGGACTAAAGAAGAATATACAAGTTTGAAAAAAAAATACGTCTTTTTTTTGGGGATGTTGATCGCAACATTCTTCATGAGGTTTTGCAAGTCGAAGCCCCGATTACCAACAAAACTCATTTCCAGGCCATGTAAGTTAAACTCTATTTCCGAAATTTTCAAAGACTTTTTTCTTCTACTTTTTCATTTCATCTACATATAATGCATTGCAAAGTCTTTTAATAATGTTTTCGCATGACCCACCCTTTATGCCATTAGGGCTATCAAAAAGCTGACTATTTGCGAACATCTCTTGTTTAGTTCATTAAGTAACACGTATTCGAATTGTTCGTTAAGTAAACGAGTCGAACACAAACATATGTATATATATATATATATATATATTATTTTATTTTTTTTTAAAGGAATGACCAAAGACTATTATACGAGCCATGCAAATTAATTTTTTAAAAGAGGAAATTACTTTTTTTTCCATAGAAGAAAAATTAAAAAATACTTTTATAGAAGAAAATTTTTTAACTATTCATAAAATTATTTAAATACAATTTGCGGTGATAATCTAACTGCCTTTTGGGAAAAACACTGTATTTCTTTACCGTACATCGATAATTACAATGAAAGAAATATTAAGACTAAGGCACGCCGTGTCAAATGAACCAAAAATATTTAAAAATTTATAAAAAGGAGATTAATGAACTTCTCGATGAAAAATTAATTAGAAAATTCAGCTCACATTGGAGCTGTACTGCATTTAATGTTATAAATAATGTAGAAAATGAAAGAAATAAACTAAGATTAGTAATTAATTATAAACTTTTAAAAGAAATTTTAAAATAGATTCTATATCCCTTACTGAATACAAGAGATCAACTTAAGAGATTAACCAACTCAAAATTTTGATTTAAAATCTAGATATTGGCAAATTCAAATTATTGAATCTGATAAATATAAAACAACATTTACAGTTTTGTTTGATCATTATTAATGCAACGTAATGTCGTTTGGATTAAAAAATGCTCATTCTGAATTTCACAAAATAATGAATGAAATATTTATTCTGTATTCTAATTATATATTAATTTTTGTTAATGATTTTCTTATTTTCTCTAAATCAATAGAGAAATATTTTAAACTTTTGCAAACATTTCAATTGCTTGCAAAAAATAATAGGTTGATAATTTCATCACTAAAAATTAAATTGTTATTCCAATTGATAGAAGCATATAATCACTTTTAAATTCCCAGATGAAATTCAAGATCTCCGTCAATTACAAAGATTTTTGGGTTTGCTAAATTTTGTAGTGGATTATTACAAAGTTCTAACTTTAGATAGTGTGATTCTTTATAATCGATTAAAGAAGTAGCATAATTCTTACACAGAACATCATACTAAAGCTGACCAACAAAGTAAATAAAAGAAAATAAAACCTTGTTTACATATTGCAAATCCGTCTCTCTAAAGTAGTAGAGACCGATGTCTCTAATATTCACTATGGCGGAATCTTAAAGCAAAAAACTTTTAATAACAAACAATTAGTTCGTTTTACCCCTGAAAAGTGAAATACCACTCAAGAAAAATATTCAACTATCAAGAGAGGAATGCTTTCAGTAGTCAAATATATTATAAAATTTCAAGATGATTTATTAAACACAAAATTTTTATTACGAGTTGATTGCAATTCTATCAAATATATACTGCACAAAAATGTCAAAAATCTCGTTTTTAAGCAAATATTTGCCGGATGACAACCCCAATTATCTTGTTTTGATTTTGATATTGAATGTATTATAAATAATTTTAGTTCTTTACTTGACTCTCTTTCGTGAATTATTGTAGGGAGAAAGATAAGGAGTCGTGGATTACCCCTCACCCGCGAGTTAACATGATAACCCAGTGGGGTTGGTCCTCTTTTCGAGGGTACAGAGGTAGGGTCAACTTAATGTGACTCCACACACATTTATTGATTTACAGAAATATCTGTATAGAAGTCCAATGACATTCACATCTGCATCGGGACCTCAATCTCCCGATTTACAAATTCATGCAGTTGCTGAATTTATGCAAAAACCTTCTAAAGAGAAAATTTTCGAAGTTAATTTAGAAGATTATGATATTATTAATCATTGGAAAATCCAAGAACGCTATCCTGTCACAAATGTTCATCCTCAAGATAGTCTTGACTGTGAATCTTATGATGTAATATAAACTTTATCAACTGTGTTGAAATTCAACACAATTTTAATGAACTCAATCAATCTGTTGCATATAGTAAGGCGATAATTAATCACATACTACATCAGAAGAAATGGGGTTTAATTTCTTTCCAAATCAAACAAGCTGAATTTAATCATCTAATATCTCATAAAAAAAATTAATCTACTTTAATTATTGGACTTGTATTCAAGCCATGCGTCGTGCTTTCTTAATCATCAATCCAAAGCATAAGCATTTTTGGCTCTTCGTTTTAATGACGGAAATCCTAAATAAAGAAATACTAAATTTGTTTCTTTCATGGTGGGACAAATTTGGTTCCACGAATGAAATCCTCCCTGAAACAATTGCTAATATTTACCAGCCTAGGTTGAATTCCCTCCGCAGCTCAATAAAATATATATTGACTTTCTAACGGACGACATGTGTCAATTACTCTTCTTTTGTCAGGCCCAAATACTCTGGATTCTAGCTAGAACTTATGCCATCAACTAGACGATATCAATAACAAATGTTTATGAAGATCATTTTTCATCAAATGATGGTAAACAATTATTATCAATGAGAAAATAGTTCAAATTAATAATGTCATTGCATCCAATATTTTAAATATTCAAGAACCAAAACTCCAAGAGTTTTCTTTAAAAGAAATTCACGACAACAAAAAATGAAAATTTCCTTGAGAATCATCTGAGCAGATCAAACAAAGATTGCAAGAATTATATCATAAACAAATGAAAGCATTATTTGAATCAGAAGACGATATTGCTAGTATCAAATCAAGGCTCAGATAACGAAGAAAATTTAGAACAAATAGTGACCCACCTCAGTTTAAACTAACAGCATAGCAAGACCAGTTGCATGATGTGCTCCACTAAGATCACATAAGAAAATTATTGGTAATAATTCTGGTGGTTAAAATAATATCGGTTGTTGGAATAGAGTTTGTAATAATTTCGGTCGATGTAATAGTGTCTGTAATAATTATGGTTGTTGTAATAGTATTGGTAATAATTATGGTTGCTGTAATAGTGCTTTCCGTTCTCATCTATAAGCAGAGAAGACATTTGGCCAGGGAAAGCAACCATAGTTAGAATATTTCCTCTTCTTGTGAAATAAGGAGTGCTCCTCTGGTGTCCGTCCCAGGCTTGCAGCTCTGTAAATTTTTTCATATTTCAATAAATTTTGCTATTTTGTTGTTCTTCATGACCCTGTCTTTAATTATATATATATATATATATATGACTATCAATCAACTCATGTAGCGGTATTATGGGGGCATTCACAT